AAGGTGTATTATTAATGATATACACCGACACAATCTAGCATTAATGGATTAGCATTAATGGATAAACAAAATGTCACAAAAACGGGTGACATCCTGTGTGCTCTTCTGCCCAAGAGCAACTCACATACCCCCCCTCATCTCCACACTGCAGGAACGTATAGCCCTACTGGCCAGTCCATTGTTGCGTGCAGGGGGAAGAGGCTCTAAAAAGGGGTGGCTTAAATGGAGTGGCCTCTTTAAACACCCCTCAGGGTTTGAGAGGAATGGCGTAGTCCAATTAGCTGACACATCTATAAAGGCAGGTGTTTTCCATCAGCTCAGCCTTTTGCCAGGAGCAAGGTGAGCTGTAAGACACTTTAGGATGTGTGTTTGTTTGTGAGGCTTGTAGCCCTCACATCTACCATGAAGTGTTTGTATTGAGTTGGTATTATATTTTGTTTGACATTTAATACAGCTAAACCAGCAAATAGCTGAGCCGCAGGCTGTCACACCCAGAGCCAGCACAATAACACATTCAACAGTTCATCAAGTACAACTTGACACTTGGAACCCCACCCTTTAAATGAAATAACATAAAACAGATTTTACACGTTAAATGAGACAGGTGCCTTTCTGTTCAGTTGAACACAGAGAAGGACACTGTTTTTCTTCCTTTGTTACATGTTTTTTTACAGAAAGTCTGAAAAGGGTTAACCTATATTAGTTATGCTCAACACCCTGAACTACCCCCTGTATCATTATGCTACTAAACAGACTCACTCTTCTTTGTAATAACAACCACATGGTTTAATCCTGCGCAATCCAAGCCGATAAAACTCCCGCCCTACTTTCTCAATCTCATTCTCCTACTTTCCCTTGAAAAAGGAACCTACTGATTTAGAAAAAGCACACAATTGCAGACGAATAGCTTAAAGTTATGTGCTTGTGACCACTCCCAAACAGGCCACATAAGTCACATCCTGATGCCACTGAACACAAGCCAAACAAAGACACACTGCAGTGCTATAACCAAACCCAGGCATGAACTTCTCACTGTAAATGAAGGCTGCATGATTTGAAAAAAACGACAAATTCCCATTGATTTGACTGATATTGCAATCGCCATATGATTATTATTATTATCATGAAGTCTGGAGCTCCACGATACTTCATTCAAAATGTTGTTTCAACACATATTTTGACTTTAACATCTTCCTGTGATCTGATTATTGCACTTGTCCATTTTACGATTTCAATACTATTTCAATGAATTCTGCCGCCCTACTTACTCTAAATGCTTTCACTTCACTAGGATGGATGCCAGAGAGGAGACGCTGAGCATCCTGAATAATATATGGGTAAAGCTGCAAGGTCTGCCCAACGCCAGCCCCATAGAGCTGGGAGCTTTCTTTGTCATCTTAACCTTCATCTGTGGGTCTCCACTCTGTAATATTACTCTTTTCTCTATTTCATTTAAGAGTGACCCGGTGCTGATGTTGTTTTTTGCTTTACCGCAGTGGTGTTCATCTTAATGGCAACGCTGACCTGCGTGACCTGCTGCTGCTGTCGCAAGACCAGGGGATCTATTCTTTGAGCAATTGTGCTCCACACAAAGAACTGAGGATGGTGCAAAATGGGCTCAAAACACAACAGGTTTTCTCTACGGCCTGTGAAAGCCTTAAGAATCTCTAAGAGTTAAATATAACTCTGACTGAGAGTCATGTTCATATAATTAATAGGCATTCAAAACATTTCAGAGAGCAATATACAGGGTGTGTTTCGTGGCCTTAGAGAAGCCCAACCCTACAACACAGCTGTCAAACACAGAGGAGGACCGACTGGCTGCCAAACACACCTGCTAAGGCTGCCAGCATTTCAGGAGAATCTACATTCCTGGGAGCATCCCTGGACTTTAAAGGGGAACAACAATGCTTCTGAAGCCAAGAACACCAAAATATCTTAAACAATGCAGGCAAATACGAGAATAAGAGCTACAGAAAATGTGTGAAACGATTAAAAATCACAGTAAGTTGCAGCCAAGTGTGTTTCGTAAATGTTTCTCTAAAAAGGTAAATATGTGTCATTGTTAAGAAATGAGAATTGGCAGGCAGAAATAAGTAACATGTTCCTAAGGGAGGCTTCACAACAAAGCGAGATCAAGTCTGCCCTCTGCTGTGCACAAACAGAAATGTCTCTGATTTTATTTTGAAAAGCACAGCATGCATGTAATGGAAGTTGTGTCATATGTATAAAGTGTCATGTTATATTATGTGCAAAGGGTGAAGCCGTTATGTAATGATGTTGTACTTTTGACTACATTTTTTTTTTAGCAATAAACGAAGAGTGACTAGCATGCACGTGTCTGAATGCTTTACTCACGCTTCCTGAACACAGTACGCCACCATGGCATCAAAGTCTGTGATGGTTGCTTTGTCAGTCTCCTTCGCAGAGCCACGTTTCCCCTGTAGAAAAAAGTTCAACCAATGTTCACAAACTTGATTTGCATAAGGAGCTCTTCACATTTGGAGTTCTCTCTTGTTGTTCTCACCTGTTTGCGGGAAATCTCTTTGCGGATGAGGAAGTTCAGTTGCTCCTTATCTTTGGCGGAGTAGTATATGCGACAGGAGGAGGGCAGGCCGTCTCTCCCGGCTCTTCCTGACTCTTGGTAGTAGCTGGCCAGGGACTTTGCAAAGTTCCAGTGAACCACAAACCTGCAGGATAAACAAAACATCAGCACATGAAAATGTAAACAAAATTGAACATCAAATCCTTGTTGCCAATAGGAGTTGTAGGAGCAAACACAGTGGTGGTGGCTTAAAGCCCACCTCCGCTCCGCGCCGTCCGTTAGATGAACCTGGTCAGATTAATAAAAGAAGGAGTTCAAAACACCGGAATAAAAGTTATAACAATAATCTGATTTTAACGGTAAAAAACACCAATACGAGTTACAGAGTACTCTGGACTCCCAGTTCTACTGCCGTGCGATACAGATATCGGGTCAGATACCAGCCAGTCAGAAACAGGGGGCATCGTGCATGAATAAACATCAGTATACATAGACATATTTGGGGGCAGAGTTGTGTCGGTTGCTCCGCCCCCCCCCAAATCTCTAATTGGTCGATTTCACTCCTAAGCGAATCAGAGAGTCCGTGAGGAGGAGTTGTGTCAGCCGCTCACTCCTCTAGGTGTTCTTACTGGTTGGATTCACTTCTGGTCGGGCACAATACAGCGAATCAGAGTTCTGGGAAAAAGTATTTTACTTCTGAACAGAGCGTGAGAGCTTCGGAAGTAAGGACAGAATCAAACTTTATCTTGCACCTGAATTCACTCCTTTACTTTCCTAAGGAATATTTCACACAAACTATTCTTTCCCAGACAATCAAACATTGTACACAGATATATTGGTGCCTGAGATTATATTGGCCCCAGAAAAGAATATGTGTGTGTGTGCTGGTATCTGGGTCAGTGAGTGTAAGTGAGAAGGTATATAGGATTACTTGAAAACAGTCCCAAATGAGTACACTGGGATTAATATTGGAATGATTATAAAGGGTGCATAAAAAAAAGGAACTGGACTGTGTGACATCCCAAAACAATATTATATGGCTTCTTTAAAATTAGGAATTTTTATTTTTGAAATCTTCTGGTATATGGACATTTTTCCTAAGTATATTGGACTGTATTATTGTAATATGTAGGATGACCTTATATATAACCCATCTTTTATTTAATGTTTGTTATACCTGTGTTATTTACATTCTCAGTGTTACTATTGATTTGATTTCTTTACATTTTGTTTTTCATATTCTCATGTTGAATTTCTTGGATTTGAGACCTTCTACATGTTTTGACCCCTTGTTAAAGAAACTGTTCATCTAAATTGGAGTACTAATGGATGTAAAGGGGAATGTGAGAAAATAACTAATAAAGAATAAGTTTAAAAAATAAAACTAGTTGCCTCACCTGACATTGGCCTTGTCCACGCCCATACCAAAGCTGATGGTGGCTACGATAACCAGCACCTTCCCTTGCATCCACTCATTCTGGGACTCTGTGCGATCTCCTGTCTTCAGACCTGCAGTATAGAAGAAGAACACGAACATTTTAGGACAAATCTTCGTGTTTTCTGACTCTACAACTACATGGAGGAAAATCAGTCTGACCTGCATGATAAGGTTTGGCCGAGACTCCGAGCTTGGTCAGCTGGTGAGCCACCGATTCACAGCTATCCCTGGTCCGACAGTACACAATCCCACAGCCCTGTTCATAAGCATTACAGAGGTTAAACAAACATGGGCTCTTATTCTCATGTTAGAGGGAAAATCTTCCCTACAAGACGTGGTGACGTGCAACAGGATTTGTAAGCTTTAATAAAGAAAACATTAAGAGAAGAGTACCAACATTTATAGTTGACAATTTAAAATGATACATCACCACATTTTACATAAACGAAAAATGTATTCTTTAAACTTGGTTGATATATCTGGTATATATCTAGCTTAGTTATCAATCAGGCTCTCGATACAGTTAAATGATCTGGAGCATGCATTTAAGTTCCGATATGTATGTTTCCATCCTTTTAATAAGCTGTTCTTTGTCTAACTCTCCAACATGATTTCAATATACACTTCCTTTCAAAAGTTTCAAACCTGTACAATTAATATTTTTCTTCTTTCCAGCTTGTTATTTGAATTATAGTGTATTTGACACTGAAACAAAACAGGTTTCCTAAATCTGAACGCATTTTAATGCTAAGCTTCCGATTTATTTAACCAACAACTAGAAATTCCAAAGCCAAACCTTTGCAGCATTGTACATGCAGGGCTCGACAGTAACGGTTGCCAGGTTGCCATTGGCAACCATTCAGACCAGTTTTTAACATAAAGAAATAAGGACAGCAAACAGCTAAATGTGCACCCCAAAATAGATAAATGTTAATTATTTGTTGTATTAAAAGGTCCCATGTCATGGCCATTTCCACTGATCATAATTCCATTGTTGAGGTCTACTAGAATAGATTTATATTGTGCAATTTTCCAAAATCCCTTTGGTTTCTCATACAGCATCTCTGTAAACTACGTGTATTCACTGAATTTCACTCTCTGCCTTTAACGGCTCGTTGTAGCTCCAATAGCTCCAGCCCCCACCCTCCCTGTGAGCACAGTGTGCTCTGATTGGTCGGGACGTTGTGAATCGCGCTGAGCTCCGTGGAGGTGTGGTTTCCTTCTTTAGCGACAGCCAAACACAGCCAAACTCACCCTGAGCACACACAAAGTCACAGCCGAAGTAAAAACAATAAGTGTGGCTTGATATTGAGTAAGAAAAAGGTTGATAAACGCTGTGAGAATGGGTCTGCAGAGAGAATTTCGCTGCGATCCCAACCGTCTGTTATCGGCCTGCAGCCAGGGAGGAGAGATCAGCAGAGCTGCCTGCACTGAGTGTGTGTGTGAGGAAGTCCGTGGATTGGTCAATTTGGACCAATCAGCGGGGGCTTAACGTAACGGCTCCGCGGACGTAACGTAGCGGCTCCACGGATTCGTCCATTTGGTTCCGGGAAACGCATGACATCATGAGTTACCCGGAAGAATCAAATGGTCAGTGACGTATCTCCAACGAGGCGTTTTGGGGAGGTATTTTCTGTGTTAGAGTTTTACTCGCTACAGGGTGTACTTTGAGGGTTTGTGACTCTGCAGACCGTTTACATGCATAAAAACCTTCATAACACGGAAGGGGACGGGTAATAACCGGGAAAGCATGATATGGGACCTTTAAGAGTGATATTTAATTATTGTTGTGACCAGTCGCAAAAGCACAAAGGTCAAGAAAACCCACATTTGAAAGGGAGACAGCGGATGACCAAGAAACTAGTCAAAAAAGATGATGAGGGCTTGTACTTATTGATATCCCATAAAGAAAAGGATAAATTCTAAACAAACAATCCCAACCTGTCCTTTAGAGCCACTGTCCAGGGCCAGAGATTGCTGAATGAAGGCGTGGAGGTGGACGAAGGGGTTTGGCAGCAGCTCCCTGAAGATCACATCATAGTGCAAGTTACTGCGGAAGACAGGTGTAACGAAAGACAGCGGCGTGCGCAGAGTCAGGGACAAAACAATGTCCTCTTGCACATTCTTGGGTGCTGTAGCTGTCAGGGCCAAACAGGGAACCCCCGGCATTCGAGCACGTAGTTTCCCCAGTTTGAGGTAGTCCGGCCTGAAGTCGTGTCCCCACTGGGAGACGCAGTGAGCCTCGTCCACAACCAGGTAAGACAGCAGGCCACGGGTGCACAGGTCCGTCAGGCAGGGCTTGAACGAAGGAGAGGCGACCATCTCCGGAGTGACGTAAAGCAGCTTGAGCTTAGGACTGCTGCTCCCTAAATCAGCAAAGATCAGCCGGCGCTCGCCTGCTGGGAGCTTGGAGTTGATGGAGCAGACGGGAATGTTCAGACTCTTCAGGTGGTCCACTTGGTCCTGTGGAGAAACAAATGAAGGAATTAAACAATGGCGGAAAAAGGGTTCAGATCCTTTACTGCTCACTGTGAAAATACTCCTCTACAAGTAAAAGTCCTGAATTCAAAGCCCTACATGAGTAAAAGTATGTACTTAAAGTAGGGCTGTCCCGAATACAATTTTTCGGGCTCTGGATATTCGGTAAAAATCAGCAGTGAATATTCGGCGCGCAGGAGAGTTAGCGCTGTTGACAGGAAGTTGTTGTTGCTATGGAAACAACGTGACGGAGAAAAGTAATATCTACATATAAAGACGGAGAAAGTAAACGATAACGTTTATGGTTAAGTGTTAGCACCCCCCGAAGAGGCACAAGCTCTTACGTTGATATTGGAGATTTCAATAAATTCAATTGAACGGAAAAAAATAATAATAACGAATATCCGAATAACGAAAACTGAATAGTACTCCAACGACCGAATATTCGGGTACAGCCCTAACTTAAAGTATGAACAAAATATTCCCAATATATACGCAAATAAATAACAAGAACCTCTCATTTGTATTTAAATAGAGTCCTTGAGTAAATGTACTTTGTTACATTCCACTACTGTGAGTTTGTCTCTGCCTGCCACAGAATGAGGCAATCGAACATCTCACATCTATTTTTTTTTTTATATACTGTATATATTTTTTTAATTAATGTATGATATGAATTGAATGAATTTTCATTTATTGTGTTCCTTGTGTACATGTTCTTGCTTTTGTTCAAAATGTAACAGTCTGTTTATATGTATGTATTTGTGTATATATGTTGCAACTATACAGAGCTTTAGCAATACTGTGTGTAACTATGGTCATGCTAATAAAGCTATTGAATTAAAAGATATTGTTTTTCATCAGTATATTATAGGTCTCAGTTATATACACAACATGTCTCTGAAGTGTTTCGCTTGAAACACCAAACAGATCATTGCAGCATCCCATAATCCCCTCTGTTTCAGCCCTGTTTCAAAAGTGCTGATTCTCTGTCTGTTACTTTAGATGAAAATAAGGAGCCCCTCCCCACGCCCCTCTGAGAGATATTTGGTTAAAAAGAACACAATGGTGCTCTAGGAGGAGATTTTGCATAACAGGTGACCTTTAAGACATAATTGAGAGTGCACACTGCGCTGGAGCAGCCCAGTCAGACACTGACCTGAATGAGAGCGATTAGCGGGGATATAACCAGAGAGATACCCGGAGCCAGGACCGCGGGTAGCTGGTAGCAGAGCGACTTCCCTGCTCCCGTGGGCATGCACACAAACACATCCTTATCACCTGCAAGAAAAACACAAAATACCCAACAATGCAACACATTAATCTCTCTTTCTAAAAACACTGCATATAAGACATCATTCAAACCGAGTCTCACATGTAAACAATAACACGACGTAACGTGAGTTAAGTTTGCATGCATGCTGCTAAAAGCCCGCTAACATTAGCTAACTATCGAAGAGAAACACAACAGATAAACTGTCTTACCTTTGACGACGGCTTTGACAACATCCTCCTGTATTTTAGATCGAAAGTTGTCAAACCCAAAGTGAATTTTTAAGGCTTGTGTTATAGTTTTTGTTGTTGTTGTCATCATGTATCTCTCTCATGGATGTATAATAAAATCTCTCTGTGGAGAACTCATAAACGCTGTGGTGACGTCGCACACTGATGACATCATTAGAGTAGCGAGGAGGAATAAAAACTGATTTTTTTATTTTGTGTTTGTGAATACATTTTATTTATTTCATAGACCATTGTATTTGTTGTTTTATATTTGTTTTATTTGTATTTTATTATGATAAAATTAGTTTTGTAAATTAGTTTACGTACAACTGCCATAGAGCTCTGTGATTGGTCGAGCTCACACGCCTTTTAGATGATAACAGCTGGTGGACATGCATTGGTATTTTGTCCAAAAGTTTATGGACACATCTGTACACAACTGAAGTGAGGAATTCTTAAAACTATTAAACAAGAAGTAAGAATAAAGGAACCCAGCTCAATGTCCTTTTCATGTAGGTGTTTGTTTTTTATGGTGCATTGTTCTAAACATTTACAACTTATTTGAGCACAAACCATAGACTGTATATATAAAGGCACAAACACTGTAAGACTGGAGTTATGGGGACTCAGGGCGGTTTTTTAATGGTAATTGAGCCACAAGCAGAATTACATATAAACCTTTCATGTAGTCAGAATCGTTCTCCTTCAATGTCTCATCGTGTTAAATGTGTTTCCTCCCTATTTTACAGTGACATGCATCCCCCAATTTCAACTAGAATTGAAAATGAACAAGATAATATGGTGAGGCTGATAACTGTAAACCTCACTTTTTTATTTACTTAAGATACTATAACCTGTCATGGAGATTGTGTGATTATGTACAACATACTTTAGCTCTCAGGTGAGATTACTCTTTCTATCTAAAGGTGAACCTATTCATGTTATGGAAGTAGTTATCTACTTTACTTAAAAACAAGACAGACACAAAAGTAAGACATGTATTTGGTTTATTTATCATTCACATAAATGCATCAGAAATGCAGGGTTAATATTGCACACAACATTACAGTAATACTACAGGGTTGTTATTTTAAATATATGAAAATACATTATGTGAAGGCAAAGAATAGCACTGTAACTCTATAGTGAGGAAGTGTTTGCGACGATTACGTTAAAGCATCAGCAGCAGCATAGAGAGTGGTCACTTAGTGGAGCTATCAATAATGGTCTTTAACATCAAGCTCTCCCAGTGATAATTATATAACCATTTATCACACTTTAATATGATATCTACTGGATTTTAAAGGAAGAGTTGGGGGAGCTCAACCCCAGATGCAGGGCGAGGGGCAGAAACGTTGGGTTTTAACTGCTGGAGACTTGATCACCAGATCATTGATGATCTCCACAGTACCGAACAGCGGGTACAACTTCTCTTTGAAGCACTCGTTGTAGGTGTAAATGTGGATGTGTTTGTCCACGTCATAGAAGGACAGCTGGCCGCGGTCGTAGTCGAGGTAGATGCCCACCTTTTCGGGGATGAGGTAGGGCGGCAGGGAGGTGAAGGGCACCGTCAGCGCCTTCAGCTCAGAGCCCCTCTCCAGCCTCAGGCTCAGGTAACCCGTATCTGTGTTCAGGGACTTGAAGCCTTTCCTCAGGGCCGACTCTTTGGCCACGCCCAGCCTCCAGTCCCGCTCTCCAACCTCCGCTTCCCAGTAGTGGCGGCCGGAGCCCAAGCCCTCCATCCCGACGGCACACCACCAACCGTCGAAGCGCTGGTGTAAGTTGGGAATATCCTTCCTCTCGTAGCCACAACGCATCCGCTTCTCGTCGGAGGAGATGAGCAGGTCAGGGTTGGCAGTGTCCAGATCCAGAGTCACCTCCACTAGAGAGAAAAGTAACATGGTTAAAATTACATACAGGTACAGTGCAGATTAAAGTTTATACTTGTAATTTGATCAAATAAATGCTCTACCTGCAGCCTTTGAGATCCAATCCCACACTGCAAAAAAAACAGAGGGGCTTTAGCAATAATAAAACACCTTATTTGTGGAGCACCATTCATACAACACATGCAGTACATGCTTAACAATGGAGAAACTAGACATTGGATTAAAAATAACTATTGAGTATCAAATTAATGGAACACAAGATGGAGATAAAAAATAAGATAGTAGAATACATATAATGGAAAATAAAACCAAATAATGTTTCTCTTTTATTCTCTTCTTCTTTGTTCTTAACATCAGTGGTAGAGATTTTAAGTTTTTAACCAAAAGTTCAGAAAGTATTTCCCCTATGGAGCACTCTCTAACATCTCATTTTGATGGTTACAAATCAATAATGGTCCCTACAAAGAGCACTGAAATGTTGATCTCTCCATCACATGTTTTGAAACCCATCAGTGGTTGTATGTAATGTTTTGTATGCTAATATACAATGTCACTCACCTGGTTGAGGAATGTAGGATATGCTACCTGGATGGAGAGAGTAACAGACTCATAAGGATTGACATTTTCCAGATTTATAACAGAAATAATCTTGATAAATGTTTAATTTAATACCAATCTTCTGAGTCTTCTGCTTCCACATGAGCCACTGGTGCGGTATGGTATCCTGCAAGAACACCAACAAAGGTTTGTTCTACAACTGCACAATAAACACAAGATGTTAAGCTGACTCTGTGAACTGTTACATATTCTTGGTCGAATGCACTTATTGTAAGTCGTTTGGATAAAAGCATCAGCTAAATGTAATGTTACATGGATTCTACCTTATCTGGGCGCTGCACGATTAGAGTCCAAAACACCAGCTCCATAGCGGCCAGCAGATTTGGCGCGCGGCCCCAACGCCAGGCCGACTGCAGGTCCTCCAGAGACTTAGCCACCGGCTCCCCGGGCCACACACTTTGCTGCAAGATGGTCGATATTAATAAAATATGTCTACTGAGTCAACAAAGCCAGGGTAGCAGTAAATGTTATTTATACTTCTCACCTCAGGCTGAGCTCTCAGGTCCTTGATCCAGTTTAGTATCACAGCTTTGGCCTCCAGCAGGTCCTGCTCATTGATCATATCAGGGTGCTTAACATCATCCATCTCTGGCCAGCCGTCAGTCTGCATCGGCCTCTTCTGCACAAAGAAACATGGCTTTAGTGGTAAGATCCTCTCTGTTCAGTAAGTCAATGCATGCTTTTTTCAGATAAACACCTTGCTCTCTAGCATGGAGGCCCACTGCAGGACGAAAACCTTGCAGAGGGGGGTCGGCCAGGTGTCGTCCAGGTTCCAGATGTGCTCCAGGACTTCTGACCTCTGCAGAGGCAAGGGATGGAAACGTGGGTTTGGTGGCAGACAGGAAATGAAGACAATAGCTAATCTTCTATTGGGCCCTGACTTGTGGTAATTGTCCCAATTAGCTCAATACCAAGGCTAAACAATATAAGGAAAATATGTGACGATGTGGTTGAAGATCCCTATAATGATATTACTTCCTATGAAAAGCTATTGAAGAATCAGTTCTGCCTCTCAGCTGCTTTCTATGTGTTGCTAAAATACAACACATTAAAGTGCACTTTTCAACTAGAGTGCAACATCCCAGACTTTTGTAATGTGTTTATGGTGCAAGTTGACATTGTATACATCCATATTTTTAAAGTTACAATAGTTTATTTTAAACGTTTTTATAATTGTTATATTTCTTGTTTCTTTTCTTACAAGGTATCTTCTCTCTTCTCGGTGTTTACATGTATGTAGGCTTATGCTTCACACACACCAAAGCAAATTCCTTGTATAAGTAAACTTATGCAATAAACATGTTTCTGATTCTGATTGTGCTGACGATTAAATAACTATATATTGTAAAGCCCTCCTCAAGTGGGAGTCAGTGACTGTATATATGTATAGGGCAGAGTTTTTTTTTTTTTTATATGAATAATTTCAGTTTTGAATGAGGGTGTATTCACCTGGCACACTCGGCTTAGATCTCTTGCCAGATCCACAATAAACAGCTGATCTTCATCCAGAGGCTCCCTCTTCTCGTTCTGCGCTCTTTTGCGTGATTCCTGTGGGAACATAAAAATGTAAGGATTTTCTCTGGGAATGTGTTTGGAAAAGGGGAGAATTCTCAGACCTTTGAAAGACATCAGTGCTGCTTTTCAAGTGCCTTTGAGAGTAATAAGGTCAAATTAGAAAAGCAGGAGGTCACTCAGCCTGATTAAAATGCAAACCGAGGCTCTGTTCCTGTCAACAAGACAAAGAGAGAAAGACACCCCTTCTCTTCCAGAGTCTTTCAGAAGCTCTCTGTTGTTCAATTAAACCAGGAATGGAGAAATGTGTGTCGTCATGTGGTACACAAAACTGTTGTCATGTCAACTGTCAACCGAAAAAACAGGTTCGCGCATTAAACACATGATTTTTTTGGCTCTTTTATTTGTATCTTTAATGGACTTAAATAAAGGTCTTACCTTTATCTTGGCTGTAAAGTTTTTGGCCGGCTCCAACATGAAGTGAAAACATTGCATCATCTTGGCGGGTCTGTATTAAGAGTCCGACAGAATTAACACAAACATGTTGGTTCAGAAAATGATTTACTAGCAAAAACATTACTATTTGTTCCTGTTAGCAGCCTGGGCACTCTGACACAGGACATAACAGGTCACATTGTTATATCCAAGCCATACTCAAATACGATGTTGACATATTAATACATTACTTGGCTAGAGTATAAATTTCCATTCATTTACATTTCAGTGGGAAATGTAGTTTTTAATACAATTTTGAATTCAGGGCATTTACTTGAAATGGAGGATATTTAGACTGTGGTATTTCTACTTTTACTTGAGGATCTAAGTACGTCTTCCACTAAAGATTAGTCGGATCCTTTCTTGTCGTCATGTGTTCAAGTAAAATTTCTCAGCTTGTACTGTAAATTCTGATAGTTTACCACTGCTATTTAATAATTTTAGAATGTCATGATCAAATCTTGACTGTGAACCCCAAACACATTAAAAGTTGTGGTCTGTGAGATTTGAATCTGTAGTCAGACACTGAACTGGAATGCTGCTTTATATCCAAAAACAACAGCGTTATGTGAATCATTAAACATGTGATGGAAAGTGTCCATGGCAATTTA